AAACCACAAGAGTCACAACAACCAAAGAGTCACAACAACCGTCAACCAACAAACACCCAAGATTTCACAACAACCACAAGTCACATAAACCACAAGAGTCACAAAACCACAAGTCACAACAACCACACAGTCACACAACCACAAGAGTTCACAACAACCACAAGAGTCACATAAACCAAAAGAGTCACAACAACCACAAGGTCACAACAACCACAAGAGTCACATAAACAACAAGAGTCACAACAACTACAAGTCACAACAACCATAAGTCACAACAACCACAAGAGTCACAACAACCACAAGAGTCACAACAACCACAAGTCACAACAACCACAAGAGTCACAACAACCACAAGTCACAACAACCACAAGTCACAACAACCACAAGAGTCACAACAACCACAAGTCACAACAGCCACAAGAGTCTCAAAACCACAAGAGTCACAACAACCACAAGAGTCACAACAACCACAAGGTCACAACAACCACAAGAGTCACAAAACACAGTACAACAACCACAGAGTCACAACAACCACAAGAGTCACAACAACCACAAGTCACAACAACCACAAGTCACAACAAACCACAAGAGTCACAACAACCAAAGAGTCACAACAACACAAGAGTACAACAACCACAAGTCACAACAACTACAAGAGTCACAACAACACAAGTCACAACAACCAAAAGTCACAACAACCACAAGAGTCACAGTAAACCACAAGATCACAACAACCACAAGATTCACAACATCACAAGCACAACAACCACAAGATCACAACAACCACAAGTCACAACAACCACAAAGAGTCACAACAACCACAAGTCACAAAACCACAAGATCACAACAACCACAAGAGTCACAACAACACTAGTCACAACCACAAGATTCACAACAACACACAGAGTCACAACAACCAAAGAGTCACAACAACCACAAGAGTCAACAACCACAAGAGTCACAACAACCACAAGAGCACAACAACCACAAGAGTTCAACAACCACAAGAGTCACAACAACCAAAAGAGTCACAACAACCACAAGAGTCACAACAACCACAAGAGTCACATAAGCCACAAGATCACAACAATCACAAGTCACAAACCAACCAAGTCAGATTCACAACAACCACAAGAGTCACAACAACCACAAGTCACAACAACCACAAGAGTCAACAACAACCACAAGATCACAACAAACACAAGATCACAACAACCACAAGAGTCAAAACCAACAAAGAGTCAAACAACCACAAAGTCACAACAACCACAAGTCAAACAACCACAAGACTGACAACAACCACAGGTCAAACAACACAAGAGTCACAACAACCACAAAGTCACAAACAACACACAAGTCACAACAACACAAGTCACAACAACCACAAGAGTCACAACAACCACAGAGTCACAACAACCACAATAGTCACAACAACCACAAGTCACAACAACCACAAGAGTCAAACAACCACAAAGTCACAAACAACCACAAGAGTCACAACAACCACAAGTCACAAAACCACAACAACAACAAAGTCACAACAACCACAAGTCACATAAACCACATCAAACCACAAGAGTCCAAACACAAGTCACATAAACCACAACAACCACAAGAGTCACAACCACAAGTCACATAAACCACAACAACCACAAGAGTCACAACCACAAGTCACATAAACCCAACAACCACAAGAGTCACAACCAAAGTCACATAAACCACAACAACCACAAGAGTCACAACCACAAGTCACTAAACACAACAACCACAAGAGTCACAACACACAAGTCACAACAACACAAGTCACATAGTACCAACAACTACAACAGTCACAAGAACCACAAGTCACATAACAACAACCACAAGTCACAAACAACAACACACAAGTCACATAAACAACAACCAAAGTCACTAAACAACAACCACAAGTCACATAAACATAACAACCACAAGTCACATAAACCACAACAACAACAAGTCACAACAACCACAAGTCACATAAACCATAACAACCACAAGTCACATAAACACAACAACCACAAGAGTCACAACAACCACAAGTCACAACAGCCACAAGAGTCCAAGAACCACAAGAGTCACAACAACCAAAGAGTCACAACAACCACAAGTCACAACAACCAAAGAGTCACAACAAACCACAAGTCACAACAACCACAAGAGTCACAACAACCACAAGAGTACAACAACACAAGTCACAACAACCACAAGTCACAACAACCACAAGAGTCACAACAACCACAAGAGTCACAACAATACAAGAGTCACAACAACCACAAGAGTCACAACAATACAAGAGTCACAAACAACACAAAGTCACAACAACAAAAGTCACAACAACACAGAGTCACATAAACCACAAGATTCACAACAACCACAAGATTCACAACAATCACAAGCCACAACAACCACAAGATTCACAACAACCACAAGTCACAACAACCAAAAGAGTCACAACAACCACAAGTCACATAAACCACAAGATTCACAACAACCACAAGATTCACAACAACCACTAGTCACAACAACCACAAGATTCACAACAACCACAAGAGTCACAACAACCAAAAGAGTCACAACAACCACAAGAGTCTCAACAACCACAAGAGTCACAACAACCACAAGAGTAGCAACAACCACAAGAGTTTAACAACACAAGAGTCACAACAACCAAAAGAGTCACAAACAACCACAAGAGTCACAACAACACAAGAGTCACATAAGCCACAAGAGTCACAACAATCACAAGTCACAACAACCACAAGATTCACAACAACCACAAGAGTCACAACAACCACAAGTCACAACAACCACAAGAGTCAAAACAACCACAAGTCACAACAAACACAAGAGTCACAACAACCACAAGAGTCAAAACAACCACAAGAGTCAAAACAACCACAAGAGTCACAACAACTACAAGTCAAAACAACCACAAGACTCACAACAACCACAAGAGTCACAACAACCACAAGAGTCACAACAACCACAACAGTCACAACAACCACAAGAGTCACAACAAACTACAAGTACAACAACCACAGAGTCACAACAACCACAAGAGTCACAACAACCAATAGTCACAACAACCACAAGAGTCACAACAACCACAAGAGTCACAACAACCACAGAGTCACAACAACACAAGAGTCACAACAACCACAAGTCACATAAACCACAACAACCACAAGAGTCACAACCACAAGTCACATAAACCACAACAACCACAAGAGTCACAACAACCACAAGAGTCACAACAACCACAAGAGTCACAACAACCACAAGTCACATAAACCACAACAACCACAAGAGTCACAACCACAAGTCACATAAACCACAACAACCACAAGAGTCACAACCACAAGTCACATAAACCACAACAACCACAAGAGTCACAACCACAAGGCCATAAACCACAACAACCACAAGAGTCACAACCACAAGTCACATAAACCACAACAACCAAAGAGTCACAACCACAAGTCACATAAACCACAACAACCACAAGAGTCACAACCACAAGTCACATAAACCACAACAACCACAGAGTCACAACCACAAGTCACATAAACCACAACAACCACAAGAGTCACAACCACAAGTCACATAAACCACAACAACCACAAGAGTCACAACCACAAGTCACAACAACCAAAGTCACATATACCGCAACAACTACAACAGTCACAACAACCACAAGTCACATAAACAACAACCACAAGTCACATAAACCACAACAACCACAAGTCACAACAACCACAAGTCACATAAAAACCATAACAACCACAAGTCACATAAACCACAACAACCACAAGAGTCACAACAACCACAAGTCACATAAACCATAACAACCACAAGTCACAACAACCACAAGTTACATAAACCACAACAACCACAACAGTCACAACAACCACAAGTCACATAAACAACAACCACAAGTCACATAAACAACAACAACCACAAGAGTCACAACCACAACAGTCACAACAACCACAAGTCACATAAACAACAACCACAAGTCACATAAACAACAACCACAAGTCACATAAACAACAATAACTACAAGAGTTATAAAAAACAATTACAATATCTGTGACAACTAAGTCATTACAACCACAACATCTACAACCACTATAATTAACACATATACTACTACATCACCCACAACAATACAAACGACATTACCTATTACTACAAGGACAACTATGGCCATGAAAACTACAACCACGATAAAATATAACTAAGCCAGGTACAATAACCAATACCACAATTACCTTAACAATTACAGCAACCACAGTACAAAATACACTATCAACCACACCATCGTTTGCCACCAACCCAACATCTACCACCACCCCAACACCTACCACCACCCGAACACCTACCACCACCCCAACACCTACCACCACCCCAACATCTACCACCACCCCAACACCTACCACCACCCAACACCTACCACCACCCCAACACCTACCACCACCCCAACACCTACCACCACCCCAACATCTACCACCACCCCAACACCTACCACCACCCCAACACCTATCACCACCCCAACACCTACCACCACCCCAACACCTATCACCACCCCAACATCTACCACCACCCCAACACCTACCACTACCTCATCATATATAACTACTTCAACTATAAACCGCCCAGCTTCAACCAGTCGAACTTAAACCATTCCAGCTGCAACTACCTCAGATTCAACGACCGCTAACCACAACAACCCTAAATACGACCACTCGATTACAGTCACGCCCACAACAACCTAACTAGAACCACCCCAACTACAACTATCACCACATCAACCCCCAACAATCATCCCTCCTACAACCACCCGAACTACCTAATAACCACCCCATCTATTGCACACCCAACCTAACTACTACTGCTAAAACCCCTACCCCAACCTCTCCATCAACATCAACCTCACAAAAGAGGAGTTACAACACACACAACCACAACCTGTGCCTCACCTTACTGACATGACCGAAGATCTTGGAGTAGAAAGCAAAGTAGTTAGGTGTGATGAAGAGTGTTCCCTGCAGCAGGATGTCAGAGACCAGCGCGCACGAAAAGTCTGAAATAAGAGAAAAATTCGTCTGTAAAATCTGGAAAAATAGGATTCTTTCTGAGAATTACGCTAGACTAGGAAAATATATTTACACTACTACTAGCAGTAGCAGCAGCAGCAGTAGTAGTAGTAGTAGTAGTAGTAGTAGTAGTAGTAGTAGTAGTAGTAGTAGTAGTAGTAATAATAATAATAATAATAACAATAATAATAATAATAATAATAATAATAATAATAATAATACCACTTATAAAAAAAATAATAAAAATTACAGAAGCCAGGCTACCTCACACTACAGGTGCCAGGATACCTTACACTACAGGTGCCAGGCTACCTCACACTACAGGTGCCAGGCTACCTCACACTACAGGTACCAGGCTACCTCACACTACAGGTGCCAGGCTACCTCACACTACAGGTACCAGGCTACCTCACACTACAGGTGCCAGGCTACCTCACACTACAGGTGCCAGGCTACCTCACACTACAGGTGCCAGGCTACCTCACACTACAGGTGCCAGGCTACCTCACACTACAGGTACCAGGCTACCTCACACTACAGGTACCAGGCTACCTCACACTACAGGTGCCAGGCTACCTCACACTACAGGTGCCAAGCTACCTCACACTACAGGTGCCAGGCTACCTCACACTACAAGTGCCAGGCTACCTCACACTACAGGTACCAGGCTACCTCACACTACAGGTGCCAGGCTACATCACACTACAGGTGCCAGGCTACCTCACACTACAGGTGCCAGGCTACCTCACACTACAGGTGCCAGGCTACCTCACACTACAGGTGCCAGGCTACCTCACACTAAAGGTGCCAGGCTACCTCACACTACAGGTGCCAGGCTACCTCACACTACAGGTGCCAGGCTACCTCACACTACAGGTGCCAGGCTACCTCACACTACAGGTGCCAGGCTACCTCACTACAGGTGCCAGGCTACCTCACACTACAGGTGCCAGGCTACCTCACACTACAGGTGCCAGGCTACCTCACACTACAGGTGCCAGGCTACCTCACACTACAGGTGCTAGGCTACCTCACACTACAGGTGCCAGGCTACCTCACACTACAGGTGCCAGGCTACCTCACACTACAGGTGCCAGGCTACCTCACACTACAGGTGCCAGGCTACCTCACACTACAGGTGCTAGGCTACCTCACACTACAGGTGCAAGGCTACCTCACACTACAGGTGCCAGGCTACCTCACACTACAGGTGCCAGGCTACCTCACACTACAGGTGCCAGGCTACCTCACACTACAGGTGTCAGGCTACCTCACACTACAGGTGCCAGGCTACCTCACACTACAGGTACCAGGCTACCTCACACTACAGGTGCCAGGCTACCTCACACTACAGGTGCCAGGCTACCTCACACTACAGGTGCCAGGCTACCTCACACTACAGGTGCTAGGCTACCTCACACTACAGGTGCCAGGCTACCTCACACTACAGGTGCCAGGCTACCTCACACTACAGGTGCCAGGCTACCTCACACTACAGGTGCCAGGCTACCTCACACTACAGGTACCAGGCTACCTCACACTACAGATGCCAGGCTACCTCACACTACAGGTGCCAGGCTACCTCACACTACAGGTGCCAGGCTACCTCACACTACAGGTGCTAGGCTACCTCACTACAGGTGCCAGGCTACCTCACACTACAGGTACCAGGCTACCTCACACTACAGGTGCTAGGCTACCTCACACTACAGGTGCCAGGCTACCTCACACTACAGGTGCCAGGCTACCTCACACTACAGGTGCCAGGCTACCTCACACTACAGGTGCCAGGCTACCTCACACTACACGTGCCAGGCTACCTCACACTACAGGTACCAGGCTACCTCACACTACAGGTGCCAGGCTACCTCACACTACAGGTACCAGGCTACCTCACACTACAGGTACCAGGCTACCTCACACTACAGGTACCAGGCTACCTCACACTACAGGTGCCAGGCTACCTCACACTACAGGTACCAGGCTACCTCACACTACAGGTACCAGGCTACCTCACACTACAGGTGCCAGGCTACCTCACACTACAGGTGCCAGGCTACCTCACACTACAGGTGCCAGGCTACCTCATACTACAGGTGCCAGGCTACCTCATACTACAGGTGCCAGGCTACCTCGCACTACAGGTGCCAGGCTACCTCGCACTACAGATGCCAGGCTACCTCACACTACATGTACCAGGCTACCTCACACTACAGGTGCCAGGCTACCTCACACTACAGGTGCCAGGATACCTCACACTACAGGTGCCAGGCTACCTCACAGTACAGGTAAAAGGCTACCTCACACTGCAGGTGCCAGGCTACCTGACACTACAGGTGCCAGGCTACCTCACACATTTGCCAGGCTACCTCACATTACAGGTGCCAGGCTACCCCGCACTACAGGTGCCAGGCTACCTCACACTACAGGTGCCAGGCTACCTCACACTACAGGTGCCAGGCTACCTCACACTACATGTACCAGGCTACCTCACACTACAGGTGCCAGGCTACCTCACACTACAGGTGCTAGGCTACCTCACACTACAGGTAAAAGGCTACCTCACACTACAGGTGCCAGGCTACCTCACACTACAGGTGCCAGGCTACCTCACACTACAGGTGCCAGTCTACCTCACACTACAGGTGCCAGGCTACCTCACAGTACAGGTAAAAGGCTACCTCACACGACAGGTGACAGGCTACCTGACACTACAGGTGCCAGGCTACCTCACACTACAGGTGTCAGGCTACCTCACACTACAGGTGCCAGGCTACCTCACACTACAGGTGCCAGGCTACCTCACACTACAGGTGCTAGGCTAGCTCACACTACAGGTACCAGGTTACCTCACATTACAGGTGCCAGGCTACCTCACACTACAGGTGCCAGGCTATCTCACACTACATGTACCAGGCTACCTCACACTACAGGTGCCAGGCTACCTCACACTACAGGTGCCAGGCTACCTCACACTACAGGTACCAGGCTACCTCACAGTACAGGTAAAAGGCTACCTCACACTGCAGGTGCCAGGCTACCTGACACTACAGGTGCCAGACTACCTCACACATTTGCCAGGCTACCTCACATTACAGGTGCCAGGCTACTTCACACTACAGGTGCCAGGCTACCTCACACTACAGGTACCAGGCTACCTCACACTACAGGTGCCAGGCTACCTCACACTACATGTACCAGGCTACCTCACACTACAGGTGCCAGGCTACCTCACACTACAGGTGCTAGGCTAGCTCACACTACAGGTGCTAGGCTACCTCACACTACAGGTGCCAGGCTACCTCACACTACAGGTGCCAGGCTACCTCACACTACAGGTGCCAGTCTACCTCACGCTACAGGTGCCAGGCTACCTCACACTACAGGTGCCAGGCTACCTCACAGTACAGGTAAAAGGCTACCTCACACTGCAGGAGCCAGGCTACCTGACAGTACAGGTGCCAGGCTACCTCACACAGGTGCCAGGCTACCTCACACTACAGGTGTCAGGCTACCTCACACTACAGGTGCCAGGCTACCTCGCGCTACAGGTGCCAGGCTACCTCACACTACAGGTGCTAGGCTACCTCACACTACAGGTGCTAGGCTACCTCACACTACAGGTGCTAGGCTACCTCACACTACAGGTGCCAGGCTACCTCACACTACAGGTTCCAGGCTATCTCACACTACAGGTGCTAGGCTACCTCACACTACAGGTAAAAGGCTACCTCATACTACAGGTGCCAGGCTACCTCACACTACAGGTGCTAGGCTACCTCACACTACAGGTAAAAGGCTACCTCACACTACAGGTGCTAGGCTACCTTACACTACAGGTGCTAGGCTACCTCACACTACAGGTGCCAGGCTACCTCACACTACAGGTGCTAGGCTACCTCACACTACAGGTGCTAGGCTACCTCACACTACAGGTGCTAGGCTACCTCACACTACAGGTGCTAGGCTACCTCACACTACAGGTGCCAGGCTACCTCACACTACAGGTGCTAGGCTACCTCACACTACAGGTAAAAGGCTACCTCACACTACAGGTAAAAGGCTACCTCACACTACAGGTAAAAGGCTACCTCACACTACAGATGCCAGGCTACCTCACACTACAGGTGCTAGGCTACCTCACACTACAGGTAAAAGGCTACCTCACACTACAGGTGCTTGGCTACCTTACACTACAGGTGCTAGGCTACCTCACACTATAGGTGCCCGGCTACCTCACACTACAGGTGCTAGGCTACGTCACACTACAGGTGCCAGGCTACCTCACACTACAGGTGCTAGGCTACCTCACACTACAGGTAAAAGGCTACCTCACACTACAGGTGCTAGGCTACCTTACACTACAGGTGCTATGCTACCTCACACTACAGGTGCTAGGCTACCTTACACTACAGGTGCCAGGCTACCTCACACTACAGGTGCTAGGCTACCTCACACTACAGGTAAAAGGCTACCTCACACTAAAGGTGCTAGGCTACCTTACACTACAGGTGCTATGCTACCTCACACTACAGGTGCCCGGCTACCTCACACTATAGGTGCTAGGCTACCTCACACTACAGGTGCCAGGCTACCTCACACTACAGGTGCCAGGCTACCTCACACTACAGGTGCTAGGCTACCTCACACTACAGGTGCTAGGCTACCTCACACTACAGGTGCTAGGCTACCTCACTCTACAGGTGCTAGGCTACCTTACACTACAGGTGCTAGGCTACCTCACACTACAGGTGCTAGGCTACCTCACACTACAGGTGCTAGGCTACCTCACTCTACAGGTGCTAGGCTACCTCACACTACAGGTGCTAGGCTACCTCACACTACAGGTGCTAGGCTACCTCACACTACAGGTGCTAGGCTACCTCACACTACAGGTGCTAGGCTACCTCACTCTACAGGTGCTAGGCTACCTCACACTACAGGTGCTAGGCTACCTCACACTACAGGTGCTAGGCTACCTCACTCT